GGTTCCGCAACGTCGTGTTCTGAAACGTCGTAGTTCTGAAACGTCGGGTTGCTAAACGTCGTAGTTCTGAAACGTCGGGTTCTGAAACGTCGGGTCCCGAAACGTCGTGGTTCCGAAACGTCGTAGTTCTGAAACGTCGGGTTCTGAAACGTCGGGTTCCGAAACGTCGTGGTCCCGAAACGTCGTAGTTCCGAAACGTCGGGTTCTGAAACGTCGTGGTTCCGAAACGTCGTAGTTCTGAAACGTCGGGTTCTGAAACGTCGTAGTTCCGAAACCTCGTAGTTCTGAAACGTCGTGGTTCAGAAACGTCGGGTTCCGAAACGTCGGGTTCTGAAACGTCGTGGTTCAGAAACGTCGGGTTCCGAAACGTCGTAGTTCTGAAACGTCGTGGTTCCGAAACGCCGTAGTTCTGAAACGCCGGGTTCTGAAACGTCCCGGAGCCGAAAATCTGGGATCATCACAGAGACTGGTACCGTATACCAATGGTAAAACACCATGTCCTTCTAGAAATTCTGATTTTAACGTCTTCTGGATAGTTAGCCTGTTTCATGTGCCTGACATTGAATCGGAAAAAAAACTGAAAACCAAAAAAAAAGTAATTTCAGCAAAGTCAGGGGACTGAAAAAGTCCAAAATTCGAATTTTTTCGAAAATACCGTTTTTCGCACTAAAACTTGCCAAAAATCCCCAAATCATGGCTCTAAAAACTTCCTGAAAATCTCAATTTCAAGTCGGAATTTCAAATTTTAGAAGGAACGCAAAAAAAAAATTTGAAATTCCAGGGGAAAAATTTTGACATAATTTCGGAACGTCTCCAGAAGACTTCAAAATCAAAATTTCGGAAAATGAAGAGTTCTGGCATTTAATTAGACACATTTCTGATCCACTTTGTCCAGGTTTCAGCTCAATCGGTGAACGTTGAGTGGGTGATAAGGCGCGTGACATACATACGCACATACGGAATCTGGTAATGATCTCCACGGCTTCTGGCGAAAACTAGAAGACGTCGAAGGAAGAAGAAGAAGAAGAAGAAGAAGAAGAAGAAGGAAAAAGGGGGGAGGAGTGTAATAGATGTAGAAATGTAGAAAAAAAAAGGAGAAAAAGGAGAAATGTATTCCAAAAGAAGAGACTCCTCCTTTTTTCTTATTTCTGCATATACATGAAAATGCAACACACACACACTAACCATCAGATACGGCGAACAAAAACGAAGAAAATGAGAGAAATGAAGCAGCAAAAAGAAGGACTAGATTCGGCTGGAAATAAGGGGGACTAGAACCATTTCTAGGCCATGTTTTCCGAAATTCGAAAAGCCTATTTAGCAGTGTGGGTCTTTTCGAAAAAAATTTCTCGAGGAATTCCTGGAATTAAGGCTTCCGTTTCGGTCGGTCGAAAATCGCCGACCGCCGACCGACCCAGCCGACCGATTTCGTTCCTTTGCGCATAAAAACATGAATTTTTGCGTACGAAGCACTTTATTTTACGACAAACGAGGTTTTTAGTGAGTAGTTTGTCGTAAAATACAATGCAGCGTATGCAAACACGTTGACGCGCAAATGCACGAAAATGTCGGCGCGCCGACCGATGGGTCAGTTCGGTCGGCTGTCGGTCGGTCGACTAAATTTCCCGACCGAATGGAAGCCTTACCTGGAATTTCGGAGTGTCGTTTGCGACTTTTTTTGTGGTGGCCTAACTTTTGCAAATTTGGTTNTGNAGCCCCCCCCTCTAAAAAAAAAGCCCTGAAAATGACGAAAAAGCGGCTTAAAATACCAAAAAAAGGGGCCTAGAAATAACAAAAATTAGACTGAAAAATATATGAAGTTAGACCCAAAAAAGGCCAATTTAGGCCTGAAAGCCTAAAAATTACACTAGATTAGGCTGGAAAAGCCATGTTTTTTGAAAATTAAAAAATACGTCTAAAAGCTTAAAAAGGCCAGAAATCTAGGCCGGACTAAAAAAGCCCTGAAAATGACGAAAAAGGCGAGGCCTAAAAATGAAAAAAAATGGGTCGAAATATCGGTAAAAGAAGCTTCAAAAAAAGGCCCAAAAATAGGCTGTGTCGAGGCCTAAAACAGGGAAAAATGGGCCCAAAAATAGTAAAAAATTAGGCTTTGAAAGGCCCAGAAAAAAGTAGACAATTCAGGCCTAAAAACAGTCCAGAAAGGCCCTAAAATAACATTCATTAAGGCCAAAAAAATAGGGGGAAATGAGGCCTAAAAATAACCAAAGTTAGACCAATAATAGAGGAAACTAGGCTTAAAAAAGCCCAATTTAGGCCTAAAAATAGACAATTTAGGCTCAAAAATAACAAAAAAAAACTATTCTTTGAAAACGCACTAAATCAGGCAATTTGAGCCTAAAAATATAGAAAATTAGGTTTGAAAATAACGAAGTCAGGTCTAAAATACGAAAAAATTAGGCCTAAAATTTACAAAAATTAGGCTTGAAATGTCGAAAACTAGGCCTTAAAACAGTCTAAAACAGTCCAAAATTTTCCCCAAAAAAGCGTTAAAAATGTAAGAATTTCTCGATTTAATTGGTCATATAGTATCGTAAAAAGGGGGCGGGGCCAAAAAGTGGGCGGGGCTTAGGGAAAGTAGGGGGCGGAGCCTGTTGTTGTGAACCATTAGAAGTATTAAAGTAATGATATCATTAAATTTAGGGATTTGGGTCATATGGGGAGGGCGAAAAATGTTGAAATTGGAAATATTCCAAGTGGGCGGGGCGAGGGGAGGTGTACTGTAGAAGGCGTACTGTAGAAAATGTGCTGTGAAATTAGTGAAAAAATAACAAAAAAAAAGGGCCGGGGGACATGGGGGAACAGCGAGGGGAAAATTTAAATTTCAGAGAATTTCAGAAAAAATTGAAATTTTCAAATTTTTCGAGATAAAGGTAAACCCGTTGTGGATGGGTGGAAAATAGTGGGAAAAATGGATTCTTTCCAAAATTTTAAATGAGAAAAAATTAGAGAAAATATTGTGATTCAAATTATAAAAAAAAAAGAGAGAAATTTAGGATTGTGGACATCCGGATACACAGACAGACAGAGAGATGGAACCGAAGATGATGGTGATGGCGTTTAGAAGCCGCCGTTGTGGGCGAAAGTAATCTGAAATTTCAGGGGATTTTTATGCTAAAAATGGGCGGAGCCTGAAAATCGATTTTCAGCCATTTTCAGCTTAAATTCAGCTAATCCAGCATAAATCCTGTCATATTTTACCCATTTTCAGACATTTTTAAGCCTGAGCCAAAACCTGAATTCAACTATTTTTTCAGACATTTTCAGCTTCATTTTAGCCACTTTCAGCGTAGCTTAAATTCAGCCATTTTCACGCCTTTTCAGCTATTTTCAGCCCAAAATCAGATATTTTTTCAGCTTCTTCGGCTTGAAATCCGTTACTTTTAAAGCCATTTTCAACTAAAATTCAGCTATTTTCAGCGATTTTCAGCTTGAATTCTGCCATTTTTCATCGATTTTCGACCTAAATACTAGTCATTTCAAGCCATTTTCAGCCTAAACTCAACCATTTCCAGCTATTCTCAGACCATGTTTCAGTCTAAATTTAGCTATTTTTTGACATTTTTCAGCCTAAATTCTGTCATTATTTAAAGCCATTTTCAGCTTAAATCAGACATTTTCAGACTAAATTTAGCCATTTTTCCTCGATTTTAAAGCTCTTTTCTTCATTTTTCACCAATTTGCAGCCTGAATTCAGCCATTTCCAGCTAAAAATAAGCAATTTTTTAAAAGTAATTTTCAGCCTAAAATCAGCTGTTTTCAGCTTAAATTAAGCTGAAATTCGGCGCATTTTAAGCCTTTTTCAGCCTAAATTCAGACATTTTTCAGCCTGAAATCCCCCATTTTCCAATATTTTTCAGCTATTTTCGGCAATTTTAAAGTCATTTTTCGGATATTTTCAGCCTAATTTTATGCCCAAATTTTGAAACATGCCATATTTTAGACATTTTCAGCTGTTTTCAGCTTAAAATCATGTAGTTTTCAGACATTTTCAGCCAAAAAATCCCACCTCTTGTCCGAGCTGCAAGTCCTCCTCCTCTTCCTCCTCCTGGTCATACTCGTCTCCTCTGTGAAGCTCCTGCTCATGCTGCTCATCGCCGTGCTCGGTATCATCTGAAGCCACCACGTGCTGGTGCTCAAACTCCTCGTCATCGCTGTGCTGAAAATCCTAACTTTCAGGTTTTCTGGGGCTAAAAAACGCGCGAAGGGTGCGCCAGCCTTCTAAATCGGCCGAAAAATCGAGATTTTAGAAGCGTTCGTTTTCCAAAACTCAATTTTTCAATTCCCAGATTTCGGGGACTTTCTGGACTCATTTCAGACTCATTTTCAGCTTTTTTGGACCTTTTTCTGGTGGTTTTGAACCAAAATTTCGCTTAAAAATTCTCAAACGTTCATCTTGAAAACTTTATAGTGATAACTTATCGAATTTAACGGGATTTTCAGTCCTTTCTGGTTCAAAAATGCTCCAAACCGTACCTGATCCAAGCCTCCCTGCTCTTCCTCCTGATCAGCATGAAGCACCTGGATATGATTTTCGAGCGCTTTTTTGGACATGAAATATTTGGTGCATCCGTCACGATTGCATCTCTGTCTCCTGGTACCAGAACGGTTTCCAGAGGCCGAACGACGGGCGCCTCCTCCGGCGGCACGCTTACGCGAGGCTGGAGCACGGACTATTGAGGTCGATGGGGCGGCGCGATTCTGGAATAGAAAACATCATAGTGGGCGGCTTCTGGAAGCTTCTGGAAGACTCTAGAAGATCTTAGACGGTTCTAGAAGGGTCTAGAAGATTGTGAGAGCATATATGGGTTACTTGGTGTCCTGTGGTGGACGGCACCTCGGCAGATTTTTTGAAGGCTCTTACATGGCTCAATTTTGAAAAGCTAGCTCGGCAGCTAGGCGTATTATACGTAAAATCCTGAGAGGAATCTAATGGTATCGCTTACCGAGCAAGTAAACTAACACAGAAAAAGTTTTTTTTTTGGAGCTTGCTCATTCTACCAATTCTTTAAAGGTGGGAGACAAGAAAAAAAATAATGTTCTCAAAATTCCGTCTGAACATGCCCCTCGAGGAGTTGAGCTAGCATGGGCGAGGATTGAGAGTGCGGCGCCGCTACCGACTGAGCCACGCGGGCAAAGAGGCAGTCGGCGCCCGTTTGCATACATAAAGGTGAGGACGCCGGCTGTACGCAGAGTGACATTAAGCGTTGTACACCGTGACGGTAGAATGCATACTCTAGCTACAAAAAAACTACGAAAAATCTCCTGTCCCCCCACCTTTAAAAAATTCTACCATTTCTGGCCATGTATGTGTGAGAGACTCTAGAAGTTTCAAAAAGGCCCCTTAAGAGTTTGGAAAGCTTCAGAAGCTTTTCAAAGTCTTTAGCAGGATCTAGAAGGCTCCAGAAGTTCTAGAAGCTTCTGTTTAAGTTTAAGACGAATTTCCCGATTCTGACATTTCTAGAATCCGAAATTCTTACCTCAATCGGTGCCAACTCGTGATTCGCGTTCCAGTGCAGACGGACGGCATTGGCGGAGCTAAATTCCGCGCCACACGACTTGGCATTGCAGCGGTAGCTCTCCTGCAAATAGAGAAATGTTACAATTTGCTCTGAAAATCTGAAATTTTCAGATTTTCAGATATTTTTGAGCATTTTCAGGCAATTTTCCAGCCAATTCAAGCTAGAAACCGTCCTGCTGACGTGTCTTTGGCGAATTAAAATTTTTTCTCCCATGGGTCCCGCCACGAAAATACAGGCAGAAGCGGAATTCCTAATTAGAGAAGCCCAAAAAATTTTCGATTTTTTGGATTTTTGAAAGCGATTTTTGAGAAAATCAATAACTGAGTAACTGAAATTTCGCGGAAATTCAAAATTTTCGAGAAAAAAAAAACTCATTTTTTCTCAATTTTTCGGCGGAAAATAAGTGAAATTCGACATATTTTTTGCTCATTTTTCTCGATTTCCTTCCAGCATCTTCGGATTTTTCCGACTTTTTTTGTTGAATTTTGAATTTTTCAGCATAATAACCTTGTAATA